AGGAGTCACTGGGAGAAAGGATAAAGGGATGCAGCTGGGGGGAGATGGTAAGGGAGGAAAGAGGGCAGGGGGAGGAGAGCTCTGGCCATGGCAGGAGAGTGAGAAGAGGGGCAGAGCACAAAAGCAGCAGAGCACCAGCATTTTTATGAGCTGTTACCCAGGGCATGGCTGACTGAGAGGATGGAAAAGAGCATCTTCTCTTCCAGCACTGCGTGTACCTCAGCTGGCCACAGTCCTCTCCATCCCTGTGGTCACATCTAGCTGATCACTCCTCCTACTCTGCTCCCTTTGACCTGCATCTCTGCAAGATACAGCTCCATGGCAGATCAAGGCTCCTGAGAAGTGTAGGACCAAATCCTGAGATCCTTGCTTAGGATCCAGTCACCCCTCAGTAAATACAGCAGTTAATTCAATAAGGACCCAAACCCATATCATAATTTAACCACTTTTTAGAGAGTTACATGAGGAGAAAAAAATTCAGGGTGGTTTTTGTGGAGCATTGCCCTGCTGGAAGATTGGCTGTAATGTGAGGGTAGACACCTGCACAGGTCAGGACAGTGGGAGGCAAACAAGAAGTGTCAGAATTCTTCTCCCATGTGAAAAAACAAACAAACAAACAAAACAAAACAAAATGTAGTTGTGGTCTTGTAGGAGCCAGTCTGGTTGTCTCCTGGTTCACATTATTAGCACTGCACTGTAAGAGCACTTTGCTTCTGATGCTCTGGCATAAAATGAGTGCACTGAAAGCAACTGGTAGTCTGGCATTTCATTGGTGTAATTATTCATGGAGTTCACTCTATTCCTTCTGCAGAGATGTGACTACTGTTACAATTCCTCCACAGCATGACCAGTCCCAGGAGAACACAAACAGACATGGAAACTGAATTACTTTATCCCTTTTAGCTGTGAGGATCTTTATGCTCAGCCTGTGCATCTCTGCTGTGTTATAGCAGAGGCAGAAACAGAGCTCAGTTTCGGGGTGGTTAATCTGGCTTTCAGAAACATTGCATTCACTTGAAATTCCCTCATTTCATGACTTCATCCAGGGTGAAACAAAGAGCAGAAAGAAGCTGGCCCTGAGCACTGAGATGTGCCATTTCCTTCAGATGGACGCAGCCACGCAGATTTAGGAGGATGTGTGCGTGCATGTGTTTATGTGAGCTCGTGTGTTTATTGCTTCAGAACTGCCCAAAGTTCCATCCTCCCAAGAGATAACGTTCAGCCCTGTGTGCTCAGATGGAATGTGATGTTTGCACATAAGATGATGGGGATTTGTGAAGCACTCAGACAGGAAGGGGAGGTGACACGGTTATAAAGCAGATACTGACACCAGTTTTGGGCTGGAGTCCCCTGGGATAGTCTGTGTTTGAAAAATATATTCAAATTTTAACCAATCATGGAAATTCATTATTTTACCTGACATTAAAGTACATTTTCAATTATATCCAGATCTTAAGGACTAGGAAAAAAACCCCAAACCATACTTGCTCTAGTAACAATGAAACATTTCTAAGTATTATAAAGACCATAAAAATTCTTGAAGAGATAGGATTTGGTTTGAAACCAATAAATAAATTTGATGTATTAAAAAAAAAAAAACCAGCAAGCATTATAGAAAAAGCTTTATCCAGTGCATTTGTGCATCTTCTGTTTTGCATCACACGTTCCTTTTGGCAGCAAACTTGGTGATTCAAGAGTACAGTCATCTGTCAGAAAAAAAAAAAAGACAAAAAAAAACAAAAACAACAAAAAACCAACCAACCAAACAAACAAAGGCTGGCAGATCGTGATCATATTTTTATTATTGTTATTAAATATTTAGCATCCCAATTCAGCAGGTGATACATGTGCATGCTCAGGTGATAGAGATAAATGTGTGAGTGTGTGCATGCACATGTGGGTGACGTTGGAGCACACTGGGAAGGGTTGGATGCTGGAGTCTCAGGGTGATGAATGTACATGGAACTCATCAGCAAGGAGGCTGAAGATGTGCAAACCCTGCCTGCAGTATTCAGGATCTCTCAGTCTGATCCAGCCTCTCACCATCCCCTTTCAGGATGATCCACAGATGCATTTGTAAGATGCCCACGAAATACCTGGTTTTGGCTCTTGCTAAGTATCTGCTGGCATCCTGGTCTTGCAATTTGCGAAAAAAAATAGATATCCTGACATACCACGGTTGTTTTTCCCCACTGCAAACAGGGAGTCTGGTGAGATTCTTTGTTATATATTCTGCAAGCAGTTCAAATTTGATCAGACCAAAGGAATGAATACCTTTAATACAGTAGATCATGCTTAAGTTCCTTTTAAAGAAACACACCTAATACCAGCTCTATTCAGGTTTTGCTCCTTTGTTGGCATTATGGGAAGTTTCTGGAATGCAACTTGTTGCTCCATTTTTATCTATATTTATTTTTGAAAACCACCTAAAACTGAGCTCTGGGAAGATCATCAGCTGTGGGTGTTACTTTCATAGCATTGTCTGCACAATCAGCATCCCAATTACCTTTAAAATCGTTACAAATAAATAAGTTCTTTCGTGATTCAAAGCTTGGAAAATATCCAATAATTTATAAAAGCAGGGTGATGTCTTCCTATCAGTTCACCAGCAAAAAAAAAACAACTTGAGAATTCTACAGTCACATGTAATATACTGTAATCACAGTGATCAGTAATCAAAAATGTGTGGTTTGAAGTCAAGCATGTTAGCCTGTGTATATTCATTTACTTACGCCCTCCTAACTCAGTCATGCAAAGATAAATGAGCCCATTTATAAAATGAACAACACATTTGAGTATAGAACTGGGGCTTTGCTTCCCATGTAGAAGAATGGAAAGACTGGTTTTGAAGTGTTTCCACAAACCATTTACTTCTAATGTTTCTTTATATTCTGCTGTACTGACTTTCCACATTCTTGTACCTATTTTATTTAGACTTACTCTCCAGTCTTCCAGGAGTATGCATGTGTGTCCATGTCCCTCCTCTCTGCCTATAAAGACAGGAACCCATCAATACTTCATTTTTGTGACACCTCAATATTTTTTTCTCAGCATATTTTGAAAATTTTGACAGCACAAATTGGAAAGTGTCTGCTTTCTCATGTGTTCACCTGCTCATCTCCACTTGTTTTAATCCTATCCCTGTGTGCCAATAGATATTATCAGTAAATCCTCCTGGTTTAATCTCCAAAATGTCTCAGAAATCTCTCCTTTCCTCTTCACTCTCCCCACAAAATCTTTGTCAAGTCCATCCTTCTCCACATCCATGTCTGTTGCGACCTTGCTGTCTTCAGCCTCTAAATGACACTCACATTAGCCACTTTTTAAAGCAGTGTAATGCAAAAGTAATCCACTGCTCCCAGTATTGAGATCTCATTAAGATATTTGTAAATCCCTCTTCTTCTCTGTCTCCCTGTTGCCTTCTAAATCTGATCGAAGCTCCTTTTATCACCCAGAGTTCCTCTTGACCTCGCCTACCTTCTCCTGTCCTTGCTCTGTTCTTCCACATCTTTCTTCTTTCTGTGCTCCCTGCTCCACTGCCAGTCACAGTGTAAACCATCTGCCAATTAGACCTGGGCACTGCCTTCGCTGCCATCCATGACACCTGTGAGTGGAGTCACTGTTCCAGATGGAAAGCGTTCTGATGTCACTGGCACAGTCCCCTTTAGAACTTTGAATCGCTGACCACTGAAAAAGCAAATTGTCACGTGTTTTTCTAACAGCAAGGAAAGGAGACACTTGTCCTCTGATTGTAAGAATATGGAGTTTTTTCTGAGTAATCCACAATTTCTCTTGTGCCCTTAGGCCTTGAATCAGAAAAGGAATCAAGGTTTTCATTGTAAATTTACTATCACTGTGATTATGAAGTTGCTCTCCAAACAGTCTATCCGAACACCCATCACAGAAAACTGATGTCTAGACCATACTGAAATGTTCATCTCTTACTTTTCAAAAATACGTTTTCAGCCCTTAAAACCTGAGCTTTAGGTTGTAGCTTCTTGCTCTCTCCTCTTGCTCACTATTAAAATCGTTTAGCTTGGGGAATAGAAAGACACGGAGCACTGATACATAATTTCTGAACTGTAGGTTTTACAGCCCTTATTTGTACACTGAGGTTTATCAGCAGGACCTGTGAGTTCGTTCAGACCAGCCAAGCTTACAGTACAGCTCATGCCAGCACGAGGGACAGGACGTGCAGATCAAAGCTCTACTCAGGTCATCTGATTTTCTGTTCCTCTGTCTCCCTGCGTTAGATTACGGGAAAACTTAACAAAACAAACGGATTCCTAGTCCCTTCCTCTCTCACCCTTTAAGTCCTGTCCCCCTAACAAAACCAAACAGGAGGAAGACAGTCTTCCTACACCTGGAGCCTTTGTTCATTTTTCTGCAGTTCATCAGAAATTAACATCCGGTTCCTGGAGCTTCCTCTCTCTTTGCCAAGGTGCTCCAGAAGTGCTTTGTGCCAACCAGACATCTACATGCTATTTCTGCGCCTCACACCTCCCTGACCTGAGCAGAGTTTCACCCAACCAGCACTGATCTTGAAGATGGAAAATGGTGGAAAGCAAATGGTTCCTAAAAAGTTGAGAAAAAAATGTTCCACATCCACCTCCAGAGATAATTCCTAAGGATGGGCTAACAACGCTTTCCCACCAGGTACCTACCAAAGTCCCAGCCTCAAAACTTTCTGTTTTATTTAGTTTAGAGAGATTCTCCACTCTTCCAGCAGTGTGCCTGCTTTACCAAATTGGCTATATTGAACAAGTCCTATTACACAACACCCTATTTCAGTTCCTCATAGAACTCATAGAAACCTGGTTCTCCTCGGGCTCCTGAGATTCCTGGCCACACAATTGTCTTCCTGCCTCTTTCCTCCCTGCCTATATGTCTTTGTTTTTCTCATGAAGTGGAGTTCAGTGATTTCCTGTACCTCCCTTACAGCCCAGTACCCTTAAAGCAACATTGCTTAGCTGTAGTAAGGATCCACCTCAAAACTGAAGAAAGCTGTGGGAAAAACAACTGCAGTCAGTCAAGACTGATCCAACAAAAAAAAAAGAGTCTTGGGGCTCACATATACTCATCTCACCAGGAAAAGGTGGAAGGAAGCATGTAGACCATTACCTCTGAGGTCATAAACTCTGAGCAAGTTACTAATCTCCTCCACCTCTTCCTCACCCACCCTCATCTGCTGCTCCATTCTGCTGCTGCTCCTGTACCTCTCCTGCCAGCAGGCTGCAGTCACCCCTTCCAGCTTCATCCTCCCCCTGCCCCAGACCCTCTCACTCCGACAGCAAGTTTAACCCATGCCCCTCTAACCTCCTCACCCCCCCAATCTTCCCTCATATCCTCTGCAGGCTCCTGTTTCCATTTTACTTTCTCATTGCTTGTCTACTTGCCAGAAGAGCAGGTCCTCAGCCCCTCCTGACCCTTCCTGTCCTGCCTGTGGAGCCTCAGGAGCTTTTGGAAGCGTGAAGCTTGGGACAAAGGGCAGTGTCGGGGCTGTGCCTGCAGCGGGACGTGGCTTTCCTGGCAGGCATAAGCGTGTGTTTTGCACATGGTGATATCTTTTAAGGCAGGGAGTTTTTTTTCTGTGACACAGAGGCTCTGCACCAGCAACAGCATCACCAATGAAACTGCTTCCATTCCTAGGTAGGTGAAATCTCCGTCCCCGGGGAGCGAGTGGCAGATGGAGGAGGGAGTGGGATCTGGCAAGGGGAAATTGGTGTGTTGGGGGCACACGGGACTGAAAGTCCCTGTAGCTTTGATCAGTGCTGCTACTTCATTCAGTAATTGCGTGGTTAGTATCATCCCAAAAACCAAATTCCACAAATACCCGTCTTTATCTCACCGTGGGTTTTGTACTGTAAGAAAAAAAAAAAAAAAAAAAAACGCTATAGGTTTCTGTGGGTTTGGTTTGGTTTGTATTTTTATTCTGTCTCTCCATCTGCTTGGGAGATTTTTAGATTTCACGTGCTATAAACAGGAAAATGACAACAGAATCCTACAGGTTTCTGTTTTAATCTCTGGAAAATGTTCTCTCAAAAACTCAGGGAAAAGATTAAATTGGGCAATACCTGAATTGATTTGGATGATATATTAATTGTTTTAAGAAGTGTGTAGATTTCATAGTCTTTTGAATTTTCCCTGAAATTTTAATTTGTCCAAGAAAACAATGCCTAAGTGAGATTGCATGAAGCAATTAATCATGTAATTGTTAACAGTAAGCTAGCAAATGTCCAGAATAATATTCAGGTAGGGAAAAGCAGAACTGTAGGGGAAGCCAGCATCCAAAAGGATCTTCGTGTTCTCCAACTTTCATTATGTCCTGCTAACAGTTTATAAAGTACAAAGTAAAAGACTTACTTCCCCTTCTGAGCTAAATGCCTTGTTTGTAACCTATTACAGGGTGTGTATAATAATTGTGTATAATAATACACAAAGCTGTTATCTTTCTCAAAAGAAAAGATTCCTTTTTTCTTTGTGTTGAAAATCATATGCATTCATAAAATGGAAAAGTATTTATGCCATTTAGGAATCATTCAGTGGGTGGGGAAAAAAAAAAAAAAAAAAAGGAAGACAATACTTACATAACAAGGAAATGGCATTTTAAGAGATTAAATTTAAATAATTTGGGTAAGTTTTTAAACCATGTTGTCATAATGCTGTAAATATGTGACGTATCATCTTAATCTCTCAGGCCATGCCTATGTGTTAGTTATGGAACTGCTTATAAAAGTAAAAAGTCTCATCAGGGGAACCTTCCTTGATATTTTTCCCCTTGGATGTGCAGGGCAGTTTGGATTATACTCAATACATAATTCAGAGTGCAGATAAATGCTGTGCTTTACTGGAAAGCACCAGAGAGCTTTGAAAGCCATCCAAATGTTTTCCCCAGATCACTGAGTAAACTCCTATCTTGTTTACCAATTTTATGCCAGTTGAGAACACACACAAATTCTCAGTCTGGGGTCTCTGCTGCTTTCCCAAAGAAAGTCGGTGGCCCTTGCCCCATCCTGTGCTGATGAGTTCACCGGAACACACCCATCTTGTGGAAATCTTTGGCCCAGACCTTGTTTTAGATCTCACCATTGTGTTTTTAGATAATGAAACAGGCCCGCTTTCCCTTTGTTCCAGTTCTGGTTTCCAGTCTGCTGGACTATGGCTGCGCTTCTGCGAGCTGCAACATGACGTGCCACAAGGACGCCCGGTGTGAAGTTCAGGGTGGGACCACGGGCTGCTACTGCTCGCAGGGATACACAGGGAACGGGATAACCTTCTGTTACGGTAAACACATCTCACCTACACGTGGTTTTGTTACGTGCTCGCTTGAAAAACTGACTCAGGAGCCCACTGGCTCAAGGATTAGACTTTCTGTCGCGAGAGCACACGCTAACATGTTTTCAAAATCCAAAACTTCAGTGTTTTCTGAGAAATTCTACAGTTCCCCCCCTGAGCCTGGTGTTTGAACACAGCACACCACGCACCCCAGCTGAGTGTGACCTGTTTTCCAGCTTTCTTTTTTCCCCTGGCGGTTGCTAATGCATCTTTTCTGGTTTATCTTCAGCAATTTCACTCGTGACTCAGGACTTCTGAAGCTTGGAGATGATGGCCTGATGGCGGCTTTTACAGCCCTCACCTCCCTCTCCCACACACGTAGCGCTCAGCCACTCTTCTTGTGGTTTGATCACAATCAAAAAACACAGCTCCTGGGCTGCTCCAGGAGACTGAGGAGCTGTGTGTGCAGCAGAGACAGGGCCAGTGATGATTTTTCCACTCCAGCTGTTTGCAAGAGAAATATGCCAGAAATCCTGTGAAGAGGTCTGCTTTTGGATGCCTCTGTCTTCCATCCAAAGGAAATGATATTTTTTCCTACCTTCATTTTTGAGTTGTTCTCTGCCATGAATAGCTCTAATACTTATTTCCACTGTCAGGTATATCTATGCCCAGGTCGAAATTCATACGAATCTTGTCAGTTGTCAGTATCCTGAGAAGCAGTTATGAATAGTAACCATCTATTTGCTCAGTTTCTGCGTTTAAGCATCTTGGGAAATTTAGCAGTCAGTGCTCAGCAGGTTTGGTATGAGCACAGGTGAGCAGCCCACGTGCAGTTTGGATTTTTATAGCTCGTTTGCTGTGGTGTTCTTGGAAGTGTGCTTGTCTAGCAAAATACAGAATGCCTTTTTCCTTAGAAAGCTGTCTACCCCTTTTATAAGCTGGGAATGCTTAGAGAGGAACATAGCTGGCTAAACCAGCAAACTATAGGGAATCACAAAATCCCAGAATAATTTATTTTGGAAGAGATTTCTGAAGGTCATCTGGTCCAACTCCCCGCTCAGAGCAGGCTCAACTTAGAGAAGGTGGCTTGGGGCTGAGCTTTGAGTATCTACAAGGATGAAACCTGTGCCTCTCTGGTCCCTTCTTCCAGTGTCTGACCATCATAATTTTGCAAATTTTTTTTCTGATGTCTGTTTTTCTCTTGTTGCAGCTTGTAATGTTTGCCTCCCATGTGCACTTACTACTGTACATTTCTAATAATAGTTCAGCTTTATCTCCTCTATAATCCTTCATGACCTACCATTACGTAGCTGTAGGCAGCTACAAGTATTTCCCCTTTGCCTTCCCATCTTAAGTGTGAACAAACACTCTCAGTTCTCTCAGTCTCATCTTTGCATCAAGTGTCATGTAGTTTCTAAATATATTTCTTGAATTTAAAGGCCCACCTTGCCCTAAGTACAGGTTAATCATTATTTGTCTGTCAAAAATAGTCTATCTCTGGTCAAAAGTAGAATAAGAGGAGATGGCCTTCACAACACCAGTATGGCATTTGCACTTGTTCATTTTTACTGCCGTGAAAAAGTTGATTGATTTGAAAGACAAGTGCACATTATGTTTGCAGAGTCAAGGGCCTCCACTTGTGAATAATGCAGAGAGAGAGGAAAGCCAACTCAATTTTAGCAATGCTTCCTGGAACAAATCAAACCAGCACATACTTATCTGGCATCATATGGTACCCATTACGTGGTCTGTACTTTTCTAGAAAGCTGTGATTATGAATCATCATTTAAACTTTCAGTAAAGATACCTGTTGTTCTCACTGACACGGCTGATGTTCTTAAATCCATCCATTATGTAGGTACCCATTATAATATTATTAAATTCACTTGTGTGAGGACAGATTGATCTTACTTTCCATGGCTTTTTGTCTCATACAGCACTTTTTTCTCACTTTCTCTTTTACCTGTATTTTCTTAGGGAAACCTTCATTCAAAATCCGAAAAAAGCACATTTATTGAGCACTTAAAGCGAATTCAGTGCAGTGAAATACGCGTTCACAAATCTTGTGAATCAGTTAATTGTTTATTAATAATTATACTCAGCATTTGGAAGCTCAAGTCTTTAAAATGAAATTTCCACTGTCGGTCCGGGCAAACGAGCTGTATTTGTGGCGCTTTGCAGTTGAGTGGCAATGGTCTGAAGCAAGCCTCGTGTCAGGAGCCCAACATTTTCTCTGCTAAAATACCTCAACAACCACCAAAGCCACTTCCCCTCCAGCTAAGCAGCAAAGCTTGTGTCAGAACTGTGTGGCTGCTGGCCCTGAAAGAGGGACGATGTTTCTCTGGGGCAGCAAGTTGCACGGTGCATTATTAATATTGTGCAGCAGTCCTCTAATAGCATAAAAAAGTAACCTGAATTTTAATTGGGTGGGCTCTCTAAAGGGTTAGAAATCTGGGCTACACCCTATCATAAATAGTTTAAAGCCGTGAAAACGTAAAGCAAAGCCCGGGTTGTTTAATGATGTATGAGATCTTGCTGTTCTGTGTGGCGAAAGCAGCAGGTGTGTCTGCTGTTCTAGGGATAGCTACCCATTTTTATTCAGATAATAATCTTGGGCTTTTACAGTGATAGTGAAGTCACCTTCAAAAGTGATCATCAATTATGTGCTAATGCAGGCCTTTTCTAAAGAGTATATGGAGTACATTGTGTTTATGTGTTTGCCCTTTTAGTTATTTAAATAGGTTGTGAAAGTCACGATTAGTGCCAACAACAGTGGTAATTTTGCAAAACGTGGAACCAACTTCGTTGTGCTTATCCTGGTAGACAATTAAACCAGAGCAGCCATTGTTTTGAGGCTTTATGTTGGAACGAGTAATTCAAATTCCTTCTCCTTGTAAAAATGTTGAACAAAAAAACGCTAGTTTTCAGGTTAGTCCTCTTAAGCTTTTATAGATGAGAAACTCTTCCTTTTTATTTATAGCTACATTCTCGCTGTTTTTGAAAGGTTTACATTCGCTTCTCTGCTTTCACTTGCTTGTAACACCTCTTAAATACTTGTAAATGTTATTTCTTTGCTAGCCCTGTCTTTTCAACGTGACACACTTAAACCTTTTCCCTGGAGTTTACTGTGCAGCAAAAGGCAATAATGTCCTGTTACATTTATTTCCTAGCACCGTTATTGATGAATCATGAATCACTGATGTCAGCATACCTTAGGAACGGGGTTTGTTAGTTTTGACTTTGCTCCCTTTGCCAGCTGGCTAAGTGACTGCAGAGAGCTCAAGATTATTGGATTTGCTGTGTATAGATAAAGACACATAGATATGAATTTAATTTCCTGGTGTCAAAGTCATGGCTTTTAAAATAATTATCCTCTTACAATCTTTCCCCCAAGATTTCAACCACTTTAAATTAGGTCATGTTTTGGACTTTCTGAAGGCATACTTTGGCCAGTCTAACAAAAAAAGCTAATCCTCCTCCTAATCTCATTGTCTTCAGTAAGAATATGTGCAGGAATGCACATAGTCAGGAGAATAACTGATTGTGGTATCTGGCCTCTTTTGTATATTGGAATTATAACTTACATAGCAATAAATTCCTTCTACACAGTATCTTCCAGAAAGCCATAAATGAGTCACCTTGTCAAGCTTTACACCTCTGAGGTACAAAATATATACCAGTCTTCTTACTTATTCTTTTGTATTTGTATTTCTTGTTTTATGCAGTATTAGATGAGAAAGAAAGACCTCTGATAATACAACCATTTTCTTTTTAGGACTGTTCTTGGGCAGATGTGAATTCTGTGAATATAATGCACGAGGCTTTAGCTTCACATTATCATAGACCTAATTGAAGCAACATGGGCTAAAGCTCTTGGCATAAAAATTAAACATAAAATTATATCCAGATAAGACTGATTTATAGACAAGTTAACTTCCTTTTATGCAAAAATACCGTGGATTTTTTACAGATAAATAGCATTACATTTGGCACTTTTGGTAAATGCACTGATATCAAAAGAGTCGGACATATAAATTGGGTGTTGCTCATAATCCCAGCTTTCTTCCAAAAGAAAATTAAAGGAAACAAACAGAATTTCAGATCTTTTAGAGAAGATTAGGGTGGAAGTAAAACTTCAGAGAAGCCAATATTTTATTTTTTAAAACAAAGGGGAAAATGAGTTGGCATCAGTGATGCTTTCCTAAGCAGCTCTGCTGTTTCAATACTGGCTGCTTCTTGATTGCTGACTGCCAATTTGCTGCTTTGCTGGCACACTGCAGGAAATTAAAGTAAACAGCGTGATCACAGTGTTTACTTTAACTTTCTAAAATACGGAAGGAAAATGGAGCAGTGCTGTTTGTTCCAGGAGGGGAGGCAGGCAAGCAGGAAAAGCCTGAGCACAATATCCCTCCCAGATATCCCCACACAATATTCCCTTGTAAATGTCACTCGCAAATTAGACGGCAGGACTAATCAGTCCGACTTGTAAAATAGTTACAGCTCTTCCAGAAATATTGGGCAGGGACTTGGGCTGTCAGGGAAACTTTGTGCTGAAGCAAGGCACTAGCTAGCTCTGTTCCCAAAGTGAAAGGTAGGAAGATTTATCGTTTTCCAGAGGCAAAATAATACATCTGTGCAAAGTGGTGTTTTATATCAAAATGCAGAATCCCTCCTAGAACACAGGGCAACTGGTGCAATCTCCTCTGAAGCAAATTGAAACCCTACTCAATATCTGAACACAAACATCTTTTCTTGTTTTACTGAGGGTCAAACGTCCAACTCTCTGGCTTTTGCCACTATAAAAAGGAGCTTTCCTGTGAGAACTCGGTTCCTTGCTCCAACGTGATGTCACTGTGTCCCACCACTGGCTTTTATTGCAGTCACTGAGTTTGGTTTGATTCACTGGTGTCATTGTTGCCAATCTGCAGCACCCAACTGGTGTGTAATTTTGAGGGCATTTTTACTTTCAAATTAGTCATTTTGTTCTATCCAGAAGTGTTCATCAGTGG